CACATAAAAAACCATCCATTAAAAACCCAGATAAGTACCCCTAAAACTACTCATAAAATCTCCAGAACAAGCTACTGCAAAATTCAACTTTGACGAGTTAAGCTTACAATATTCATCAAATATGGATATAAATTTTATGCTTATTGTAAAATAATACAAGAATTAGCACAAATAAGCATACAATATAAATATACTAAATATCAATCATCATCGATGGTTGATATAATATCATCATCCAAAAGATTTCAAGAATAAGATGTATGGTATGGCTTGTCAAAGGGTTGGATGCAAAGTCACAAGATGGAAAGTGAAAATAATACATAAATTTGGCAAAAATCCATCAAAAGAGGCCAAATAAGAAATTTAAAATTGAATTAATATAGAATTTCCTTGAATTTCTAATCGTCATGATAACAAATTAGTCTCTCCCTTGTCTCATTCTATGAAGTCCAATGCCTCCCAATTTGCTTCTTCTTCATTTATTTCAGTCATCTTCCTCTTTTATAAATATTTTTCATTAACATAAAGATGAGATTAATACTCTAAAAATTTTCGAGGAGGTAGTGGTGGTGTGCGTGTTTCGAGTGATCTCCGGCGGCGGCTATGGCGGTCGTGACTATGGAGAAAACGGGGTTTGGGGTCAAGGCAGTTGAGAGGAAGCTATTGTAGCTTGGGGCACATTAAAGCATGATTTGTTTGGAGCTTTGGTTTAGGATTTAGATAAGTTTCAATAAAAATATGTATAAATAAGGTCAGTCATAAGCCTCATGCCAGTGAGGCATGTCGGGCCTCAGCCAAGCTAAGGCGCAAGCCTCATAAAAAAGGTTTGAAATGTAAGCCTCAAGGAGTTTTTTCACTGAAAACGTGTTGAGGCGGATCTCAAGGCGAGTTTCAAATTGCGCAATCTTACAATGCACGAGCATACTATCATCGTGAAGGAAGGAGTCTACATTATCAATGTTCGTCTGTATCGTCATCCCCAAATCCTGAACAAAGAGTTGAAAGATTAATCACGGAGATGCTGGAGGCAGGGATCATTCGACTCAGTAACAGTCCATTTTTCAATCCAGTTCTTCAACAACAATTTCATTCGTTCCACCTTGAGGACAAGGTGGCACTTTGGGAGGGGAGTATTGATGGACCGGCTGATTTCATTGGGAGGGAATTAGAAAATTTTCTAATCAAGAGGGAGCTGTTTAGAAGGTATGAGAGAATTATTTAGAAAAAGAAGGCTAATTCAGGAGGGAATTAGCAAAGATTATTTAAGGCTAACAATAATGTGATTTTAGGATTATGCTTGTGTTTGCTAAATTGAAGTTTTCTTAGGTTGTTAGGGCTCTAACTAGCGGATAGGGATTTGGGAGAGCCGGATCATCCTCTCCAAAATATCTAATGGTATCTTACTATTTTCTTTCATAATTTTTGCAATAAAAGGATTCGTGGTGTGTTCTTCCCAATTTCTCATTAAGGTTCGCGGATTTGGTTGAAAGTACAACTACTTCCTAACATACTCCCCTTCACATGTCGGAATATAAAGTTGAATCTCTCGATAATTAATGTGTATCAGTCTAAAACAACAACATACCTAATCATGTGTTGGTTGTATCATTTGAAAGATAAGAATTAATAATTGTTCAGGAAACGATGCTAAAAAAGGTAAATTTGATGTTTTTAGCTAGGACAAATATTGTGTGAGATGAAATGGCTAGTTTCCTTATAAAAATTGTTGTAGAAGTTTTAATAGTCTAGAAATAAATCATATAATTGCTATAGAGTGGAGAGGTATAATGGGTTATTAAGGAAATAAAGATTCCTTTCAAAAGGCAGTAAAAATTAAATATCATGGATGCTTATAATGATTATAAGAAAAGTTAAAAATCTTGAAAAGATGATAGTGAATAAAGCAAAACATACAATTTGTAATTATTTATAATAATATGCTTGATAAAGAGGATAATATAAAATAGGTAAGAGATAAGAGAACTAATGATTTTGGAAGAAGAAAAAATAATAGGATCTTGATCAAAGATGAATAAGTTATTGTGAGAATATACTAAATGACAGTTTTGAGAAAATTATTATTTTGAAAGAGCAAAACAAAAAATATAGTGAATTATATTATAGATTGATTAAAAAAAAGAAAAATAGAGTGAGCTCTGAAAAAAAAAAAATCAAAGTAAAGCTTTAGGTCCATATGAGGTATCTATTCAAATTTTGAGAGTTTTTAAATTTGTAGTGAAATGGTTGACAAATATTTTCAATCGAATTTATTGGAGAAGAAACATTTTTGTTTCAATGTTTAAGAATAAAGGCAATTTTAAAGATTGTATTAACTATAAAAAAAATCAAACTTATGAGTCCTAAAAAAGATGCATTAATTTCAAAATTACAATTTGGTTTCATACCAAGAAGATGAACACTATGGAAGCAATTTTTGTGCTATGAAAACTAATGGATAAGTATAAAGAACAAGAAAAGGAACTTTGTATAATTTTTATTGATTTATATAAAGTATATAATAGAGTACAATGAGAATTATTTGGAATACTTTATGATGGAGCATTGGTGTTTAAAATAGTTGTTGAGTGACCCAAAAATATTCACTTATCGTTGGCTTACATCAAGGATCACATTGAGTCGGTATACTTTTGTATTTCTTCTGGAGCACTAATTAGTATTAAAAGTAGCTATAAAGTTAACTAAGAGTTTTCAATTATCAAAAGTTTAAATCAAGATCATCATTAAGTTTATATTTTTTTATTGGTTCTGGATATATTTACAAAGAATATTCAAAGCGATATGCCTTAATGTATGTTTTTCACAAATGATATATTTTTAATTAATAAGACATCCACTAAAATAAATGAAGAAATAGAAAAACAAAGTAAATGTTTAAATGACAGGTGCCTTAGAATTAGCATTACAAAATCTAAGTAAATGATATCAAATTTTATTAGGCTATAATGATAATAATTATCATTCAATAATTAAAAGATAATGTGATACATAAGTGTGACAGGTTTAAATACAATAAATTTACTATACAAAATAATGAAGATATAAATTCTAGAGTTAAGGATGAATGATTAAAATGGACAAGCGTATCAAAAGATTTATATGGTGTGAAGATATCATGAAAGCTTAAAGATCAACTTTATAAAATTGCAAAATTCATCAAAGTTATATGTATCCTAATATTGGACAACAAAAATTTTATTGATATCTAAGTTAAATGAGATGGAAATTAGAATGTTAAGATGGATGTAATGGCAAAAATATAAATGAAAAATGAAGGAAATAATATATTAAAGGAAATTTTGGACTGACATTTATTAAAAATAAAATGAGCAAAAGTAAACTTGAGATGTTTCGAAATGTGTAATAAAGGGTAGAAAATATGCAGCTTGGGTGAGTTGATAAAATCAGTGTAGGAGGATTATTAATAAAAATGGGTAGATCTAATTTTATATGTATAAAAGTTATTCAAAATGATTTGCAAAGAATTAGTTTAACACATCAAACAACACTCTTATAGAAATGAATAAGAATTTTATATTCATAACTCCTCAAATAATTGGTTTAGGCTAATGATGATGACGTTCTTACATTCCAATAAAGTCTTGTATAGGCTAATACTAGCCAATAGTGAAAAGTGCATCAAAGCGCAAAGGTTACATAGAGCCACAATGTATGGCGCATAAAACAACACATGTTATTTTAAAATATCATATAAAATTTAAAAATCATGAAAATTTATTAATAATTTTTATTAATAATTAAATAATTTATGATAAAAAATTATAGCAAAAAAGGTATTATCAATGACATATAATAGAGCATAATAATCTTTCAACATACATAAAGTTAATGAAAGGTGCCTATTTTATATGCTAAATATGTTTAAGAAATTTGCAAGCTCATGAATGAATATGTCTTACAATAATATGATAGTTCTACAAATTGAACAATATAAATAACAATAATCAATAACCTCAAAGCAAAAAGATAGTAACATAATGTTCCTGACAATAAATAAATTAAGAAAAACCAAACATTAAACAAATAATTAATTAAAGTACAATACAGGAAGAAAATACATGAAAATGCTAAGAAGAAAAAACATAAATTTTACTTAATGAATAGAAGAGATAATACATAAAACTCATTGATAAAATAAGTGCACTATGCACTATAGCACACACTTTTTTTCTTATGTCTCACTACATAAATAATGTATGAAGTGAGCTAAGCTACACATAGGTTATAAAACACGCTATTTTGCATTATTGATATATGTGCATAGGCTATACCAGGACGCCATAGCTCCACCTTGATTTTATACTCTTTGAGTAACAACTCTGAATCTATATTGCTATACAAAACTACCATATCAAGAAAAACTTTAACCAATTAAGAACTTGCATTACGCATACATATAGCATAGTTCGGGAGTCATGTTAATCTCCTTCCCCAAATAAATTAGAGGGTATAGAGAAAATAGAACTTATGTTATGTGTGTGATGATCTAATTCGCACAATTGTAAGGTACTATAGACAGATTCTAAGGTATTGCACAAAACAAAATGCACATTGTTAAGTCTGATACTGACTATAAGGTATGTCAAGCTGGATCAACCATAAGGTAGCTAAAACTGGTCATAAGGTGAGTCCCTCTTAACGAACAATCCAACAAGTAATATAATATCGTCACTGGTTTGGCGTCAAAATGTACATTGCCATGGTTAGGCATCCTAAAGTGTGATTCACCAATATGTAAGTTAACTCGTAATTGCTGAACCATCATAAGTTTTGACAGCAAGAAACATCATGTACATTGAATGTTTGAAATGGACAATTTTCTTGCTGTCAACAAAAGTCCCTTTTAGAACGATCATGATCAAAAAACAATCAGTTGAATAATTTCCATCAGCCAATTAAAGTTCAAATTGCAGCAGGTCTTACAAAAAAAGAAGCTAGTTCCATGGGTCAGAATCGCCTACCTTTCTCAGCATGACCACTATAAAACTTTTTTCAGCAACATTATTCTCTGCCAAGGTTGTTTCGTCTTTAAGAACTTTCCCTTGATGTATGAGCATTTGCTGATCGGCAGGGTATACAGTTTTTCCTTGTGAGATCTCTATACTATTTTTCACATCAGAAATCTGCAAAACAGACATGCCTAAATGGTTTTACACAAACTCAATGCCAAAACTAATCTTCCCTAAAGCACAACACACAAACTCCAGGAACCCCAGCCAACTGAACAGTTAAATCCAAGGTAATCCAAGAACAGCAACGTAAAACGGAATTTTCCGTAAGGACATCTCCGAAGCATTACAAGCCAAAATTCTACCAATTGATCGAAGAGTAAAACCCCAATAAGTGACCGACGACAATATCTGAGGATAAATCGAGAGATGTCAAAAGAGGAAAGAATTGGGATCGAGAAAAGTACCGTATCCTCCGGCTTTACTTCGATCTCGAAGTTGGTGCCCTTGAGGGTCTTGACGAAGATCTGCATCTCTGCGTCAACAAATTATAGTGGCACTCTTCTCCTCTCCCGCTTGGTAGGGCGGGGACGGCTAGGGTAGCTCTCGATCTCTGGGCTAAAGCCGAGCAGGGAAAATCGGAGGAGACGAAGAAAATTAGCAGTCCGATCCGGCCAAAGAACGGAGAAATCGGATATATGGAAGGTCCAGCGGAATATCTTTCCTACCGGGCTTCCTTGCGAGACCGGCTGTCCATATTTACACAGATGGTTCATGGTACAGCAATTAGAGCGAATAACTAACCGACACGTAAGCTTAATTCTAAGGATATTTTTTTTTTCGTTTTTTTTTTAACAAAACAAACCGATCTTTCATTTGTAATTTTATCTTTGTTTAATTTTAGATATTCTGTTTCATTTTTATTTTTACAATTTTAATCAAATTAAAATTCAATTATATTAAATATTAAATTAATAAAATTATGAATTTATATTTATAAATAAATAAGTGACTAAAAAACTTTAATGTTTAAATGAAATATATAAAATATTAGTGTTATATAGGGATGCACTTTTCTTTCATAAAACTAAAATTTTGAATTTAACCAACATTTGATTTAGCGTTGAAATAAAATAACAAAAATATGTGGATTTAATGATATTAAATAACAAGAAATTAATCAACTTTTAATTCATAAAAATAGACCATATCATTATTTTTAAATAATATTTAAAAATATTGATAAATCAAATAACTGAGATTTTTAAATAAAATAACATGGAATACTAAATATAGCATCCTCCTAAACTACTATGAGAAAGTTTCCTCATTTAATATAATGCTAGGATCAACTTCAAATGTTTTTATTTTTATTTTTTATTTTTTTTATTTTTCAAATGTTAAAAAATATTATAAGATTTATTTTTGTGTGTGTATATTTCATATAAATAGTTTTAATTTTATGGGTTTATTTATAATTTACAATAAATATCTTTATTATTTTTTAAAAGAAATTAAATTGATACATCATGTGATTTAATTTAGCTAAATAATGCCCAATGTTGCAATAAGAAATTGATCTTGAACTTGTTTATGTAAGGAGTTTCTAACACAAATTTTTCATATCTGATCTAACGGATATATGGAAGGTGCAATGGGTCATAATTCCTACCACATTTATTTCAATACCTAATATGCATAGCTTTCTTTCTTCTTAGGTCTCTTATTTGCATGCTCTAATCTCAAAGCTATATATGGATATTTGTTTCACTTTTGTGTGGTCTTCTTTAAGGTCTTCTCCAACCGAACTCCAAACGTAAGAATGGCGTTGCTCGCGAACTCCAGTCGAACGTCAAAAATTCCGGTATTTAATTGCGGGTGAATGGTGTGACGCGCAATATTATCGTTGCACTGTTCACCTACGTTATTTTTCTATCTCTACCGGAGTTGTCGAAGAGACGTGCGAAAGAGGAGAAAGGCGATTACCTTCTGCAAAGGGCGCAAAATAGAATTCGACTGGAAATGAATTACATCGTTTTTTAGTTTCACTGCATTTTGGAGTGAAAAATGGGATTTTTGATTGGAGATGCCCTAAAGAAGCCTAAGAGGTTGTTTGGCAATGGGATTTATGTCGGATTTGAGCAAGATTTATGCTAAATCTTGCTAAATAAAATTTATGCCGCCGTTCGGCTTCCATCGAAATAAATATATTGTCTAGTCCTTTTTTGGTAAGTCGCAGATTTATTAGATCATACAGTTCGGCGGACTTAACATTCCACCACGCGAGGGAGAATGGGAGAGCGAACAAAAGAATTAGCTTCAAGCATGAGGTCGCCTGCCGCCATGATCGAAGCTTGCTTTGTATACTGAACATTACCTTGCTCTTTCTCATGCAAGTTGATATAAAACTTGTTATCCTCTCCAGACAATTGTGAAGAGGATCATTCCTTGACCGACTTATAAAAAAAAAAGCTTTTTTTCCTTTCTGATCTCTAACTTTTTTTAGTTCTTTAATTTTAATGTGCTTGAAGAAAATGAAATCCACTGTCTTTAATGGATTTTACAGTGAACATAGAAGTGAAAAGGATTGACTGATCATTTTATCCACCATTCTCGCTAATAAATAACAAAACTATGCTCACCAACAAACTTGGTGTCCATAGTGCAAATGATAACCTCCACCTAAACGAATAAATGAAGTCCAAAGCATACTTAGGGCATCTCCAACCGAACATCAAATGAGTTTATGGCGTCATTCGGTCGCTCCAGCCGAACGCCAAATATTCCACCATTTATTGGCGTCGCACTGTTCACCTACGCTATTTTGCTCTCTCAACCGAAAAAACACGCTAAAGAGAGAATGATCGTTACCATGGCGTTCGATTGGAGCAGCACCACGACATTTTGGAATTTTGCGGTATTTTGCAATGAAAAATAGAGTTCTCTGCTGGAGATGCCCTTAGGGTTCATTTGATATATATATATATATTCTTAAAGTAGTTTTTCAATACAAAACGTTTAATATTTGTACTAAAAAAATTGCTTTAAGAAGCAACAAAAAAATTGTCTCAAACAAAGCCTTGGCAACTTCATTCCTACTTTGCATTTCACATCACAGCCATATTTTTTATTTAGTCACCACTTTATTGTTGCTTTTAAAAAAATTTATACTTTGTTGCTTTCTATAATGGCGTTAAAAAGTTACTTACTTTACAACAGCTTTATATATTAGCAAGAAAATTGTCCCAAATAAAACCTTAATCCTTATAGAAGCATAACTCATCCTGCTTTATTTATTAGGGGATTTGCCAGCTACAAGAACTTGTACAATAAAGTCTTCACCAACTTTTCACTTTCTAATCGGCGACTTCATGCTATTGTAAAAGATCAAAGAAGCAAGACAACAATATGATTGCTGAAAATTCTGCTCATGAGAATAATGACTTCGACATTCTCAAAAATTCTTAAAAGAATCCTCAGAAGAAAAGAAGAGAGCATGCGAAAGTATAAATGAATGAGCCACAAACTATATATAAAAGAAAAAAAGTAAAGAATTTAAAGCATCGCACAATCATGCGGTGCAAGTCAAAATTCCACATTACCATCGATTATATAAAAATTCAAAAAAGACTCATCCGCTTAGCATAATAAATAAATAAAATTACTTTTATTGCTAGTAAGTAAACAATACATAAAAGTGCATCAATCATGGTGAGTCCTGCTTGTTGCTGCAATCTCAAACTTAGGCTTCGTTTGGGATGGCTTTTTACTGCTGCTTAAAATAACTTTTTAGTATAAAAAATTTAATTTTTTACTGAAAAGTTGTTTTAAGAAGCAGCAAAAAACCGTCCAAAACAAAGCATTAGTTGCAAGAGAATAAAGTTTCGTTTCGGGCGAATTTTTTACTGCTTCTTAAAGCAGCTTTTTAGAACAAAATTTTTAATTTTTTAACTAAAAAATAATTTAAAGAAGTAATAAGAAAGTCATCTCAAACGATGCCGAAGTCATTCCCACTAACAAATTAAGCTCGCACCACAAGATAAAAAATCACCTCGTTGGGATTCAAACCTTGATGAATGAAGTTTTGAATTACAAACTCGACACCAATGGCAAATTGATCCACCTAAGAAGAGCGTGTACTTATCCACCTAAAATTTTCAACTCCACTCAGATATCATTGGTGGCTTTTCTATAATTAACGAATAAAAGCAATGATAGAACACAAATTGCCCATCCAACAAGAAAACCAACGAAGGGACTAATAAACTTTCCTATATACATAAATTTACCAGAACTATTTTTTGAAGTCTTTGGATGAAAGCTGAAGACTGTTGTGATGTAGTTCAGATTGTTTTTTTACTTTGAAGTATGGGGAAGATTTGTTTGATTTCCGAGTTGGAGAAAGCTTTCGTCTTGGGCATGAGTGCTGCATGCAGAAATTTAAAGTAAAGAACTGTGGCGAATAGGCGAAGCGAAGGAGAAAACAAGTTATTGGATTATAATCACCTGATATAGCTCAAAGCGGACATCCTGTAGAGGCATGCGAAGACGAGCAGGTGCAGCCCAATGGAATAAAAGAATATGAACGTTCGGGCGTATCTGTGTCAAGGAAGATCTATTAGATAAACTCTTAGCAACATAATTATTATGCAAGAAATTTTTGGTTTGAATATCCTGTTTCTGCTATTGAATTTATTTTGAGAAGTGGAATATAAAAATTAAATAGTTATATAGTATATTTATCTTAAAGCAAATCCAACAGATAGAAAACTCAGATAAATCAAGCTTTTCTAATTCTTTTTAGCAGTATCACCCTATTGTCATCACCAGTGGTCTTAATATCAAATATTTGTGATTGGTTTTGCGAAAATTCTTACACTTTTTTTTGCTAAATTTTGTCTGGTGCTTTCTTTTGATCAAAATGAGTTTTTTGCTCATTAGATTTGCTGTGAGATAAAAAACAATCAATTGTTGTATTGCACGCCAATAAAAATAAATCCATTGGATATAAAAACATCCTAATAAACTAAGGTTAATATATCTAGGCCCAAAACTTCTCCCTAATAATATTTAAAAAAATGAAATCAAGAACAAGTCCTTTTGTCTTAATGAGGTAAGGTGTAAGCCTTGAGCATGATTGAGAAGTAAGCCTTGAAAAAAAAAAGAACTCAAAATTACAAACAATTTTATAAGTATGTATTAAACCACCAGTTAATTTAGTTCATCGTCATAAACTACAAAATCACACAATAAAAAAAGAAGCAAATCTCAATCTTAAATATTAATATAAAGTGAAAGTGTGAAAGAAGATTCAAGATAAGCATTCATTTAAAATTTAAATACATCGTGATGATCCGGATCTACGTTGCAGTCGCACACAATCACAGAGGAGACAATCACAGATCTCCTCGCTCACAGTCAACTGTTGGCACACAATCACAACTCTACCTAATCACAATCCTCATCCTAGCTGTGCTTTCTACATAATTGTTCATAGTCTCCTCACTCGCTTATTAATTGGAAAACATCATCCCTCTCTCTCTCTAAAATTATAAAGTAGGACATCAGTTATAGTATAAAATAGATGATTCATAAGCTATTTAACAAAATTATTTGAACAAGTGCAAAAGGGAAAGATCATTCATCACTTAAATATGGATGATGCTAAGTTGATGTTCGGTTTCAGGAATCACATATGTCCATTGGACTTCAAAGCAATA